CAACAGAAGAAGCAGTTACTCACAAATGTAGTTAAGTCTATTGCTATATATGCGGCTCCCATATGGGCAGATGCAATGAATAAAAAAACGTACAGATCAGGAGTAGACGCAGCCTACAGAAGATGCGCTCTCAGAGTTGTTTCCGCATTCCGTACAGTATCTACTGACGCGGCCATGGTTATTGCCGGAATGATGCCAGTACAGCAGGAAGCAGAAATTGAAAAGGAAAAGCATGTAGCAAAAAGAATTGGGGTTACAAACTTCAACCAGCTCAATGAAGAAGCATTGAATAAGTGGCAACGGAGTTGGGATATATCCACAAAAGGAAGATGGACGCATAGGCTCATTCCGAAGATAAGTGATTGGACCAACAGAAAGCATGGGCAGGTGAACTACTACCTAACCCAGATGTTAACTGGACACGGCTGCTTCAGAGCATATCTATTTAAGTTCAAACATGACGAAGACGACACGTGCCCAGCTTGTCCATATACAAAAGAAACGGTGGAACATGTGTTCTTTGATTGCCCGAGATATGAGAGCCACCGCAGCTCCTTGGCAAGAGCAATCAGAGAGCAGGTCACACCTGATAACATCATCCAACTGATGTTAAAGTCAACAGAAATCTGGAACCTGGTGTGTATTTTTGCGAAAGAAATCACAGAAGAACAGAGAGCAGCAGAGAGAACTAGAAGAGCAGTAAGAGATGACAGCAATCGCTGAATCACCACCCTCCGAAGTAATGCTTAAAGGTGGTTCCGGAGGGATTTATGGTTAGAAGAGACACGGTGTTAGGATGAGGTTTAGTACGTATGCGCAAATATCAAGCAAAAGAGTAAGTCTTGGTTGCGAATCGTGCATGCTGGTAGTACGGGCTACCAATATCTTTTGAAGATTCCACATCCCTTAGCTCGTATAGCTTAAAAAAAAAAAACATTTGTGCTGTGTGACTGATTTTTAAAAATGTGCACAATCAGATGTGCGAGAAAATTTTATGCTCGCACCGCACTGTGCGACAAAAAATTCTCTTTGCACACGAGTGTGCTGCTCATATTACGTTTGCACAAATGTGCACAAATGTGCGACTGCACAAACGTGCACAAATGTGCGATGCACAAACGTGCACAAATGTGCGATGCACAAACGTGCACAAATGTGCGATTTTGCGCTTGCACCCAAGGGTGGAAAAAATTACAGGAACTTCACAATTTTGTTTGAAATAGAAAATATTATTTTGTTGCAAATTTTGAAAAAAATTGATATTTGCGTTCGTTGGGATCGTAATTTATGTTAAAAATTGCATAAATTAACAAATATTTAAAATAATTATTTTTGTTAATTAATGTAAACTAAACATTATAACTGTCTTAACCTTATTTGTATTTTAACTTAAAATATTAGTTTTTTGTATATTACTTTGAGCATTTTTAAATGCAAATATAGTAAGTGAACTTAAAGTATTTGTTTGGAAAGTTTTGCACCAGTTTAAAAAAAATAAAAACATATTTTAGGAAGATTTTTTTATGCCCAAAAAATATGAAAGATTAGGAAAATATTTTTTTTGAACAGGTAGCAGGTATTGGTATTGGTGTATTTGTTTAATAAATTTTGCAACAGTTTAAAAAAGATAATACGGGAGGGCCACAAATAGATATTTTTCTTCTCCAGAAATATGTATTCACTTAGGTAGAGTATCTAACATTCATTAAAAAACGCGAAAGATTAAGAAAATATTTTCTTGAACAGGTAGCAGGATTTTAGCGCCCTTTCTATTGTGCTAAGTAAGCAGAGATATAATTTAAGTGAAAAAAATATTTCAGCAATGTTATTAATAAGATTAAATGAACATTTATTTCAAAAAATATGTAATAAAAATTATATATTTTATAATACGAAATTAAGATATTAAATTATAAAATTATTTCAATAACTTTGTTAAATTTAAGCTGTAATTAAAGATAAAAAATTAATTGAAATCTAATAACAAAATTAATTTATGTTGTAAAAAATATTTAATTTGCTTTTTATAACCTTACTAACGAATCTTAGTGTACAACTTACTATTAAATAAAATTTTATGAAGTAGTCCAAAATTGATATATTTAATTTTTTCAAAGTACGATCCGTAGAACCGATCCTCTTTACTTATAACATTTCGAAACAAATACTCTTTCTCTATTAAATTCATGTACCTATTTAATATAACAAAGTTTTCAAGTACATTGTGAAATTAACTTTATTCCCATATTTTAAATTAATAAACCTTAAAAAAATAAGTAATATAAGCAATAAATGTAAATCTAATAATAAATTCAAAATTAAAATATAAATACAAAATTATTTCTTCAATAAAATATTTCGCATTAAGACCAAAATTAATACAAATCAGTTTTCCGTACTATTTTGCTGCGATATTTGTCATAATATTGTGCGCTTTTAAATCATCATTTCACACAAACGTGCAGTAGACATTTCGTCTCCGCACATTTGGGTGCATTTTTATTTTCGAGCCTGCACACAAAATGTGCTTCTCGTATTCTTTTCTGCACACGTTGTGTGCGAGGGCATGTTGGCTGCCGCACACACAATGTGCTGTGCGAAATAACTTCGGCACAAACACCGAATGCGTGTGCGAGTTTTATTTCACTCCACCACACTCGTGTGAAATGTGCGTTTCGTTTGTGCACACAAGATGTGCACTTAAGATGTGCACAAAAATTTTCGCACACCACATTTGTGGTGTGAAATTTTAGAATCGCACAACATTTGTGCGTGGTGTTTTGCATTTTTGTGCACAGCACAGTGTTTTTCTGAACCCTGATATATAATTAAAAATTTTACATAAATTGTACATTAAGTTTTAATTTACATTTGAGCATTGCATAAATGAAGGCAATTGGTTTATTATCGATTATAGAAATAAAGTTTCTAAAGTTTTACTTAAAGAAATAGTTCAAAGAGTAATTTTCTTCAATATATTTAGCACTTCAGTTCAGTTATCAGCACTTCAACTCGGAGACATATATTGCCCATTATGATGCCCTCAAAGATTCTGCCGGGAGAGGCGAGTTGATAACCTTTGTTATCTTCGTGTACTATCTTTGTTAAACCATTTAACTTTCCAGATGAAGTTGAGGAGATCCAATAAGTTTGTTTTCATTATCTCATCCAGGACATTCTACCTCCTCTTCATTTTTGTAACTCCTGCATAATTCACTTGTTGTAAGTAAGTACTCGAACTGCAGGTTTGCTGAAGCCCAAAAGGCTTTTCGTTTTATTTTTGTCTAAACTAGACCATAAGGTTCTAGCGACCTCACAGTCTTCGCAGTTGGTCCATAAATCGTTAAACACCGTATTGGTGATGATTCTAATTCTTTATGATTCTAAACAGTTCACATATTGGTGTTTGTACTCAGAGTTCAGCCTCTCTTGTATGCAGAGAGTCTTCGCGGTTAGTCCATAAATCGTTAGTCACCGTATTGGTGATTAACTCTATAATTCTAAACAGTTCACATATTAGTGTTTGTAGTCAGAGTTCAGCCTCTCTTGTATGCAGAGATTCTTCGCGGTTAGTCCATAAATCGTTAGTCACCGTATTGGTGATTCCCTCTATGACCATAAACAGTTCGCATATCAGTGTTTGTATTCAGAGGTCAGTCTCTCTTGTATACAGTTCAGAACCTCTTCTGGCAATCTCATCTGCTAGTTTATTCCATATAACATTGCTTCCTTCCTTTCAATATATTAACGGGCATTAATTTGTTCTATATAAATACATTTTATTTTTATTATGAGGTATAAATTTTATTTTATAAAAGATATTGATAACAATTTTGAGTTAATTGTAAAAATTGTAAAAATTGTAGAAACTTTAAATATTTTTTATGCCAACTTATACTTCTTGAAGTGTTAAGAAGCATATTTTAGTGATATATTTCTTATAGGCATATTAAACCTTAATAAAAAAAACTAATGCCGAACTTTTTACATTATTTTTTTAGTATTATATTTTGAACTCATTCAATAAAAACTACATGTAATAAAAAAATATATTCAACTAATTTTATGGTTTTAGGTCTCTCGTAAGAGCTATATTATACCATTTTAAGATCAAAAACAATAAAAAAAAAACAAATCATATTACTCCGAAACAAAATATTGATGAACCTAACTTTTGTTAGGATTTGTTGCGCTGACAAAAGTTTGTATTTCATGGTGTTAATTTATGACTTGAAAGATATACCTATTTCTTGTTAATAATGAAAAATATTATTTATTTGTTCAATTTTCCATTTTACAGACACGGAAATGATACAATTTTGAAACATTTTCGTGGTTTTACGTGGTATAGAAAAACGGAAATTCAGCCATAATTATGTGATTATTTACATTAGCAGCCAAGATTACATTATTAACATTAGTAAATATTTACATTTATGCCCTTTTGACTCTCTTTTACTTTTGTAACAATTATATTTACCAAACACTTAACTATTTTCTGGTAAAATAAACAAAACAAAGTGCACATAATTTAATAACTTGTAAACTTGTAAATTATTCATTAAGGCGCTTAAGCTCAAAAACATAAAAAATAAGGCGAATACGTTCAAGTGCAGCTTAGGCCAGTTTAATAAGAATCTATGATTTGTAGCCAGCAACGAGCGACAAGCACACGATCGAACATTCAGCACAACTCATGTGCCACAAAACTTCATAGTCTTTAAGAAGAAGCTCAGTCTACGATCGGCAGAAGAAGCGCTCAACACTCAACGCTCAACGTAAGTTGCAAATGTAAATGTGAATCCGCGGCTCAAGACCCAACAACAATTTGCGATGTTGTACAGATGCTTAAGCTATGAGCGGTAGTGTTGGCGCTAAAGCTAACGCTGGCTTTTGCACTGTTGTTGTGCTTGGCTCATACATGTTATGCGGTGGATGAGTTGATCTATGCAATCTCAATGATGATGGGCCTAAGAGGTTTTCCTTTCGCTTTTAAGAGTTCATTTCGTTTTGAATCCGTTGACGATTAAGTTGTGCATCGCGCAACGCCACGCCGTTTTTCGTTTCGTTGATTCCTTAGCGGGTAAAAATCTTTAAAATTTATTATTTATTAAAATTTTTAAACTTATGAACTCGTAAAATTTTAACTAGTTTGGAACCTTTAACGATTCGCTGCGCAATTTAAATGTTAATTCTGAATGATTTTAACAATTTTGCTTGATTATTATTATTGTTTTTACAACTCAGTGAATTTCTGACATATATAAAAGATATTAATGGTTCAAAAATAAGTGCGCGAAGAAATAAATTTTTAAAAATATAAATTAAAAAAAAATTTTTGAAACAAATTGTTTTTAAATATCAAGTGAAACCATATACGATCGTTAAAAATATACTATCTAATATCATAAAAACAAAATTCAAAAAAAATTTATTGCTAAATAATGCCTCAATAGAAATATGTGAAATTATATATAAAAAATAATAATAAAAAATTATAATAAAAAATAATTATAAAAAATTATATAAAAAAATAATAATAAAAAATTATAACAAAAAATTATAATAAAAAATTACAATAAAAAATAATTACAAAAAAATTATTATAAAAAAAAAATAATAAAAATTTAATATAAAAAATAAATTATAATTGCTTGTTTAATATTAAAATAATATTCATAATATGTTATTGTTTATATTTTCACCAACAGCTTAAATATTTAAAACATTTTACTGGATATTAAAAACAACCTATAAGTTGGATAAACATTTAATGTAAAATGTTGAAAATAAATTTAATATTTTGCATTTTGGGTGGTAAGTTTCAATTTAATTTTACAATATATATTAATGTTAGAAAATGTAAGAATGTTTTAAAATAATAATATAGCAACTTATAATATTCATTATTTATTATTAATATTTTACACTTATCTTTAAAATATCTATTTTCTTATACTAATATTATCTTACTATACTACAAATTATTTCATATTTTTATCACAAATGATTTCCTTTCTATAAGCAAAGAAGTTTAGGTTAAAGTTATTAATAATAGTTATATAACATAAAAAATAATTATTTATAAAATACCTATAAACGAAGTATTTTAAAAGATAAGGTTAAAAAAAATTTATTACCCATTATTACAATAATAACTTTTACAATAAAATTTAATAATAAATTTTTAAGTGCATATTGTCTTAAGTTAATCAAGTGATTTTTCTTTACTATTAATATTTTCAAATGAAAAATTTTTAAATTAATCACAATTTATTGTATATTTTAAATGTATCCGTTAAAAAAAACTAAAAAAAATTTATTAAAATTATACAAAAACAAAAAATAAAACAAATACATGAAATCAAATTTTTTAAATTTTTATATATATTTTTTAAGTATTTGTAATATCATTTATTAAATAAAAATGACTTTTTGTTGTATAATTATTATTGTTAGACATTTTGAATATCATTTAATTGAAATCGGTTTATAATTAAAATAAATTTAAAATATTTTAAAGAATACTTTATTAAATATATAAAAAACAAAACTAATTGATTATTATAGTTAAGATTTTATGTACAACTTTTTTAATGACAATAGAAGTAAAAGTATTCCATAAAATAATTAGAAACAATTATATCTTAAACAATAATGAAAATATTTAATATTAGTATAAATATTACTTTGAAATAATATTGTTTTTCAATTAATGTAATACAAATAAGACATTTAATTTTATTAAAATTATATACCATAATAAATTTATTGTTTTAGTGACCAAATATTTTAGTACTAATTTTTTTTTAACCGACTAATTGATTAAATGGTTAAATAATAAAATTCTTATAAAATTTTTGTTATTAAAAGATTTTATTTTAACCGATATTTCAACTATAATTTAAAAAATTATAATAAAAAATTTTTTTAAAGTTTATTATTTAATAAAATGTATAATAATATTATATAGTACCCTGATAATGACTATAGATTATAGTCGAAATACCGATTATAATAAAATCTTTTAAAAACAAAAAATTATTTAAAAAGTTTATTATTTAACTATTGATCAATTAGCCCACTAAAAAAATAAAATTATTAAAAACATAATAAAATAATATATATAACAAAGAAAGTAATATATATATAATAATAAAAATAATACATATAAAAATAAAAATATATGTAATAATAAAAATAATATATATTATAATAAAAATATAAATGCATAATATGTTTAATATAAAAATGCTGATTTTTTAGTTTTTTAGTTTTAAGTAATAAATATGATAATATTAAGTAAATCAAACTTTTAAAATTATAATATAAATTATAATTAAACTTATAATTTGCCCAAGCTTAGCAAAATTATGACATTTCATTATGTAAGTCTGGATCATACGCGATTCCTAAGTAATCTACTTCAAAGAATAAGCTTTTTCATCAACCTTGAAGATTGGTTGTGTGATATCAAACCGATGTGTTAGCATTATTTGGTAGAGAATGAAGCTCTGTTGCTACTGAAACCAACCACAGAACTAACCAGGCAAAATGTTATCCATCACTGTGCTTATTATTTTTTCTATAAAAAATTACTTTAATGAAAAGGAAGTTTGAGGAAGTTTCAAAACATTATTTCAAAACATTCGTCTATACTGTATTCATCTTGCAATATACAACATTTTATTTACATCAATAAATATATTTTTATTGTTTTGAAATTTTCTGTATATTTCAACATAGGTAGATACTTTATCGCAGGAGTAATATTTCCTACATTGTATCGTGTGGCAGACAAAACTGCAATTAAAAAATGTTTATGCATTATCAATATATTGTTTTAAAATATTAATATGTATTTTTTTAAAATTCTGTACAATTTGAAGAATTGTAATTGATTTCCAACACAATTCAATACTTAAATCAATTTGAAAATATTAGTTCTTCTAATGCAATCCATGCCAACATTTCATTTATTTATATTTATCAGAAATTGAAACAAAGGAAAAAAATTATTATAACAAATATTAAAATTATCTATTTTAAATGCTTAAAATTCTTTATTAGTATAAAATTTTTAATTAACATATTATCGCCTAGTATTTTATTACAATATTTTTATAGCAGATTCTTCAAGTAGATTTTTATTTTATTTTAATTGTTTTTAATTTTTGTAATACAACACTAATAGGTCTTTTAAATTTAAAAAAGGAAACCAATGGCTAAGATATTGGTATCTTACTATTTGTGGCAATGTCCATCGCCCCCTGAACATATAACAAGAGCATTAACTTGCTTTAAATCATATTTTTTTAAAAAGCAGTTACACAAGGCATACATTTTTAGAAAATATGAGTATAATAGATAATAGATCCATAGTATTAAACGAACCACCCATTAATCACTGTTATGTATAATGGAATTTTTTAAACCTGGTATAGAAAAAATAATACTGACTTAATATGACTAAAGGGTATTCGTAGGTATTGATTAAGAGATTATCTGGAGTTATCAAGAGTTGCAAACTTATAAATACCGTGTATCACGACTTAAACTTTGTTGATTGTATCCAAATAAGATTTCTAAATTTAAAATGTTGTTAAACTGACCATTTAATTTGTTTTGCTATGTTTCCAAATTTGTCCCTAATGTTAATAAAATAAAAGCTCTAATCTCTCTAATTCCTTCTACACTGGCTAGGCTGGATTCCTGCATAAAGATTATTCCCTTACAAGCAAAATGGCTTTATATCTGCTAATTGAGATTTTTATAAGCGCATTTAAAAAAAATCTGTATCTTTGAAAAGAAAGGAAGTTCTTATATTCTACATTTTAGACTAATTAATGTGTAGCAATATCTAAGGTTCTTGAAATGATATAGATAAAAATTTTTTACATTGCAAAGATGATTAATTGAATTTTTTGAAAACAGTATAAGCAATCAAAATTTTAAAATAAACATCGAAAATTTTTATATTTTCTTTTTAATATAGGCTTGTCATGTTTTTTTTTTTAATAGTATATTTTCTTGACGTCTTTTTTTATAAAAGTTCCTTTAAAAAGGTTTCCAGCAGCAATGAATTGTAACAAATAAATTTTTATTTCTTTTTAATTAATGAAAAAAAACTCAAAACCATTAAAAATAAATAAAGATTCACAACTGTTAGAATTCACTACTGTTCGAAATCTATCTATTTAATAAAATAATTTCTATCAAGTAAAATAGTCACTGTGATGTCCGTCATCACAGACATTGAAATCAAATTTAATATAAAAATATTTTTAAAAAATTAGTTTGTTCCCCTAAGTTTTTTTTTTATTAACGCTTAATATTAATATTTAGATGTAATGGATATTAGATGGATATTATATATGCAAAAAGTTTAATTTTTTTATTTTTACAATGTTAAAATATTTAAATCTAAATTAGTCTAAAATGCTGATTTTCAAAATCTCATAATTCCATGTCTCTTAGATATTTTGTTTCTTTATTTTTTCATTTCTAAGTAACGGATGTTTTAATTTCAAAAGAGATGGGGTTCAAAAAGGTTTCAAATTTTCTATTAAATCGTATGTGACAAAATCAATTTTTTGACAATATTCGTTTCGCTTGAAAAAAAAACACTATATATGTAACATATGTTCTCACACTATTTTACTAACCTATAAAAATTAAAAACCAAAAACCATATTTGCATTCGATCATTAAAATCTTGTCAAAATCTAGCCAGCGTCAAGTCAAGATCAGAAGTTTTATTTATTTTTAATTGACGTATTTAAATACAATTTTTTTGACTGTCACTAAGTTTGTGTTTATTTTATTTAATGCTTGATATATTTTTATTAGTAATTAAATAGACATATATATATCGATTAACACAAGTAAATCATTTTATTTAAATTAGTTTAATAATATTAATTAATAATTATTTAAAATAACTAGTAAATTTGATTTTGTGTGACATAAGCAAATAAAGTAATTATTATTTAAAATAGAAATAAATTACTTTTTTCTAACTACTTGTGTTTATTAGATGCATAGTAGGTTTATAACAATTGTTTTACTCTATGTTGAAGTTATAAATTTTAATCGAATTAAGCTACCATCAAATTCAGTGAATCCCACAATATTTCGTATTGAAAACACGACTTCAAACGTCAAACGTCTTAGTTATTGTTTTCATCAGATTAAAAAACAGGCAATCAGATAAGAAACTTCAAAGTAAAATCAGCTAGGATAGTTGCTTTACAAGCACTTGACTAATTGCTATTGCAAAAATAAGCAAAAAATAAAAAACAAAAAATTATAGGGTCTCAGATAAATATCAAGACGAACTTCTTTCTATGCAAGCTCTCAAGACAAACACAGCCATCATCGAATGAACTCAAAGTAAATAATAAAACTACAATTTTGGTTTTCTTCAACGAATGAACATACACTATTCTTTATTGCAGTTGTTTTACATTTCAGAAAAAATTAAAATTTGAATTTAAATTTAATTTTTTGTTTGAATTTAAAATCAAATGCGAATTTCGGAATAAACTGAAGTTGTCGGCCGATGATAAATGAGTGAAATTGCATAATGAAACTGCAATTTGGCCTCCGCCGTTGTCTATAGTTCGTATAGTATTGTTCGTTCATTTTGATATAGTAACGTTGTAACTTTGTAACATTGAATGATTGCAGGAACGTCCTGACTGAAGTTACTTTACACTGCATACCTATCTAGACCAAAAACTGATTTGGAAATATGAATAAATTGTTAACCAAAAATAAAATAAATAGCAAAAAAAAAAATATCATTAATATAAATA